TGAAAGACAGGGTCATGGTAGCAGCATATGCATGTGGCTTTTGTCTCTGTTCTTGGGGAAGTATACCAAGAATTCAGCTTTCAAATCAGTGGAGTTTTCACCACAAAGAAATTCAGATAGAAATACTCCAAATAACTTCAGAATTATATACAACCGTTAGTGCGAATGTTGGCAGCCCAGAGGCTGCAGCAGTGGCCTGCCAAAAGCAGTGGGCAGGCAGAAGTCAGCTACAACAGCAGCAGAGAAAGAAAATTGCAGCAGGCAGCAGGAACTACATCAAGCAGACCGGGAAGAATCCAGGAGGGGCCTGCAGGTGGCTGAGAGCAAGGTCAAGGACTTGCAGCAAGGTCAGAAACATCCTCATAACAGAATAATTCCTCTGAGATTTTGGCAACATTTTCTAAGAGAGACAGACTTGACCCCAGGCTTCACAAGCCTGAGCTCTCCTTGGCTGTCAATTTGTGCTTCTTCAGAAAGAACTAAAGGCCATTACCAAACTTATATCAGGATAGCATGCCTGTACGTAGGTATTTTATGTTTAACTAAACTAGTTCCTAATTTCTGCTCATTTGCATATTGGTGAAGCTGTGACTCACGTGTCCATTTGCTGTTTCTATAATAAAGAAATGTGAAGAGCATTTCTTGGAACAGAAGTACATGAATCCAGGTGTTCCTATAGGTTGTTTGTATTCGGGCTGCTCTCAGACAAGGGCAAGCTGCCCCAGCTGGGGTTCCCACTCTCACTAACTGGTGCAGAGAAAATCAGATGCTATTGTTTCTCATCATACATTTAATGATGACTTAAAGAGGACAAGAATGCATTTGCATCCTCCACCTAAATAGCACAAAGATTGGCTTGTATACATACTCTGGGAGATGGAAGTAATTAAGGATAGTGGTTCTACAATTAATCTCTTCTTCTGAACTGTGAAGTCTTTCTAAATGTAATTTTAGAAAAAGTACCACATACATTTTGCTTGTTTATTCATATTGATTGACTGTAAGGATGAATATTGAAATTAAAATTCCAGTGTGTCCCTAACTGATTTGGCTCAGTGGACAGAGCGTCCGCTTGCAGACTGGTCAAGGACATGTACCTTGGTTGTAGGTACATCCCCAGTAGGAGGTGTGCAGGAGGCAGTTGATCGATGTTTCTCTCTCATCGATGTTTCTAACTCTCTGTCCCTCCCTCTTCCTCTCTGTAAAAAATCAATAAAATATATTTTTAAAAATTTCAGTGTGATCAAATGAAGCATTATTGAGCTATAACTCTACTGGGTTTCTTTTCTGGGTGCCAGGACACGAGACTCTCCATGTGTTTCTGCCATTTTTATCAGCCACTCCTCCTTAGCCGCCTTTCCTGGATCTCCCTCACTTCCCTAAACTTCTAACCAAGGACCTTTTCTCATCTGTTTCTATACTCGTTCTCTTTATCATCTCATCAGTTGCATGGCTTTAATTGCCAGCTATATGCTGTCAACTCACAATTTTACTTCTCCAGCCCAAACTTCTTGCCTAAACTCTAGATTCATAAATCCATCTGCTTGCTTAGCCACCATTTGATGTCTACAGTCCCAAGTCCTCATTTAATTTTCTATCTCCCAACTCCATTCTTCCAGATGTTTGGGCCAAAAACCTGGATATCATTCTTTCTTTCTTTTTTTTTTTTTTTTTTTTTTAATATATTTTATTGATTTTTTACAGAGAAAGAAGGGAGAGAGACAGAGAGCAGAGAAAGAAGGGAGAGAGACAGAGAGCTAGAGAGAGACAGAGAAAGAAACATTGACCGGCTGCCTCTTGCACACCCCCACCGGGGATGTGCCCGCAACCAATGTACATGCCCCTGACTGGAATCGAACCCGGGACCTTTCAGTGCGCAGACCTACGCTCTACCACTGAGCTAAACCGGTTTCGGCCTGGATATCATTCTTAAGTCCTGTCTTTTTTCTCAACATTCACATGGTATTGTCAACAAATTTCATTAGATTTGCTATTAGATGTACCTAGACTCAGACTGCTCACCACCTCCACTGCCCTCACCCTGGCCCACCATCTCTCCCGGTCTGCTGCATTTGCCCTCTTTTTCTCCCTGCTTCTGCCCTTCACCCCAGTAGGCTCTTCCTAACCTAGCAGGCTGTGTGGTCCTGTTAAAACTTAAGTCCTTCTTGGCCACTTATCTCTTCAAAGCCCTGCAAAGACTTCCCGTGTTGCTCAGAGTGAAAGTCACACTCCTCACAGTGGCCACACCACCTGCACTTGCCATCTCCTGCCACTCTCCTCTGCTGTCCCTTCCCTCCAGCCTCACCTGCCTCCTAGTTCCTCCAACACACCTGCATGTTCCTGTCACGTAGCTGTAGATTTGCGTTTCTCAGACTGCTCTTTACCTTATGTCCACGTGGTATTTTCTAAAATGGCACCTTCTCCATGTATCCTTCCCTGGCCATGCCACTTAAAATTATGGTTTCCTCGCTATTTTGGTCATCCTTGTTCCTTTCCCTGCCTTATTTTAGCCATAACACTCTTCAACATCTGATGTATCACTAAGTTATTAGACATTAGTCTTTGTTGTTCGTCTCTCTCACTAGGTTCCATAGGGGGAGATCTTATCTGTGGGTCCACTGCTACACACCCAGGGCTTGGGCACTCAAACCACTTGCACAGAAGAAACTCCTTCTTTGTTTAGGAAGAAATGATCGAGATAAATCTTATCAGTCAAAATTTGATTAAAAACCAGCCTTGTAATTGTGCCATGCCCTCTAGACACACTGTAAAACACTTTTGAATCAATGACCTATTTTATGGATTTATTTTTCCTGGAAAAAAGATAGTCCCTGTGTGAAATGCAAAACTGTAAATTCTAAAAAAAAAGTTGTTTGAACATTTTCTTGGACATCAAAACCATTATTTTAATTGGTGCTATTATGCTATAGATCTGAGGCTTTCATAGTCAACTTAATAAAGAATACTTTACTCACTCTGCAGCTTTACTTTCTTCCATCAAAAAAGTTTTTAAAAAAAATTAAATCTAAAAGATGAATATGAAAATAATTAAAAAATCAGAAAGAATAGTCATACTGACTGGTGCTCATGAAAATTACATTTTACTTTAATAAGTTTTCTCGGTGCTGGTCCAAGGTTGGTGTTTCTATTGGAATAATTTCACCAAAAATAAAAGTATGTGCTGCATCCATTTGGTTTCTTAATATCATTCTCCATTAAAAGAGACAGAACTTGCTGGAGAAATGGCTGATTCCAGACTTGAGGCAAGGAAAATGCAACCTGTGCCTGGCATCCTGTTGTGCCCGAAAGTGAGAAAATTCTCAAGAGCTAACAGATTTATTTCAAAGGGACAAAAAAAAAAAAAAAAGGGAGGGGGGGCGGGGGGTGCAATAGATGGCCTCTTCCTGACCAAATTTGGGATAATTTGAGTATCAAAAAAATAATGACAGATCCATTTGTAACACATTGGATTGAACAAAATCCACAATACAACACTGACACATCCCAACCAAAAAGAAAAAAAAAAAAGATAAAGGCAGAAATGTGTGAGAGAATGTAAAGCTTGTCTTAAAAGAAGAATGCTAGCTAATAAACATAGGAGGAACAATGGAGTGAGAAAAACCATCATTTTGCAGCCCATGATCATTGGGTAAAATATGGCAGGGTTATAGGGTATTCACACAGTGCCAGATTACCTATCATCCCAGAGATTACTTGCTATTTACAAAGAGAAAACTTTAGCTTTTCAATGGAGTGAGATGGCAGTTACCACTTGAACCAAGTGATGCAACTCAAAATTACTAATAGTGGAACATCCTCACATTACAGCTCCTTGATGTAGTGCGATGGAGAGTTTCCATTACTCTGAAGTGTTTTTGCCGTACAATTGTATCTAATCAAGTCACTTGACCTCACTTCCATTTTACAAGAAAAATGCAGCCTAGTAGAGCAAGGGAAACACTATGATGAGCCACACAGGCAGATTTAGAACATGGGATATTCTACAAGATAACAGCTTGGACTCAAAACAAACAAACAAACACCTACTGTCTTGAGAAAAAAAGAAAAGTAAGGTGAATATTCTTAGATGTAATAATTACAGAGATATAACAATCAAGTAATATAATGTATAAAGTTAATTTGATATTGATTAAGGAAAAATTCTATAAAAGATACTTTTTGAAAAATTTAAATGTGGGGTGGATGTTAAATGATGTTATAAAACTTATTTTACGTTTTTTTAGCCTTTTTTGTTTTGATATGGTATTGTGGTCATTAGCAGAATATTTTTATTTTTAGGAAATGATGCTGAGGTATAAGAATTAAATGGCATGAAGTTTGCAATTCATTTATAAGTGATTAGGAGCAAAGGCAAATAGGGGTGCTTTATATACATATGCATACATATATATGAATACTATATATATGTATATATATATACACTTAAAGAGTATACACAAATGTGGCAAAATATTAAAAATTATTGAATCTTGGTAAAGAGCATATAAGTATCTATTAAGCTATTTGAATTTTTCTGTATTATTGAAATTTTTCAAAATAGAAAGTTGGAAAAAGCAAAAAATGCATGTAAATTAACTTTAAAAACACACCACTACTCCACTCACATTTTGTCTTTTGGTGGACTATCTTTGAAATATGTTACTTGTGTCATGTCTTAATAAATTAAATTGTAATAGAAAATAACAGCCACTACCCGGGTGAAGAAAGTGGAACTTTCTGTCACACCCTAGCTACATAACCCACTAGCTAGTGACCTTGGGCAACTTGTTTTTGATCCTTAAGGCTTGGCTTTCTCATTTGCATGATGGGAATAATATCCTGCCCATTCACAAGACATTGTGAGATAATCCATATTATAAACAATTGTAAGGCATGCATTCAGCCTAAAGGCATCTATAGCTTTTTCTTCTCCTTCGGAGTGCAAGTAAGTAACTTTATAAAAGAAGAGACTTGCACCTTAGGCATTCAAAAGGACTTACCTTTCAGACCGCAGAGTCTACACATGGCCGCAAACACTGTAGATTCCATCTCGATATTCCTGACACCTGCTATATATGCTCTCTTCAAGTAATCTACCTTCTTCTCTCTGGAAAAGCTGCACAGGGCTCCATCTAGGCGACCCTGGCCTGAAAGAGATGGAGAGCAGTGAGCAACCTGATAAGGACAGTGGCAGTGGCACCAACAGAGGCTTGCTGTCAGCCTAGTGCTCCGCAGCCAAATCTGACTCTTGGGCCTGCGCCCAGGGAGGATAAACCTGCTCTCCGAATCTTCCTGTCACTGGACCGGGAGCAAGGCTGTGCCCGACTCCAGAGTCTCTTATGTGGAGAGTAGTCTCCCCAGTGCTGAGTGCCCCGGCAGCCAGCACTGGGCCCAGGGATAATGGGATTAGAAAAAAATCATCATTTTGTAAAACAGGGTAAAATCCTTGTGTAAAAGTTGGGTTATTCACGTAGTGCCAAATTGTCACCCCAGAGATTACTGGCTACTTTCAAAAGAGGAAACATTGAACCTGAGGGTCACTGAGAAATCTGCCCTTTGAGGAAAATCTCGGGTTGGCTCCGAGGCCAGGTGCTGGGGGAGAAGAGACGGCAAACCTTAGTGATGCTCTGAGCTCCCTGAGGAGCAGAACCATGGTTTGGACACTGTGACTCTCTGTCTACCCATTGTGACAATGGTACCAATGTGTCCACCTTCTTCTCTGCCATACAGCTCTCAGCTGCCTGCCACCCTGGTGATCACCTTTTCCCTTCTATGATGCTCTCAGTGTTCATTTACCACTTACTCTCACTTGTATCAATTAGTGGGGCTGGGAAGAGGTGGAAAAAATCTGATACTCTAACTCCTCCTCCACCCTGCAGGCTCTGGGAACAGACTTCTCCCACCACACGCCCAAGGATGGCCTGGGAGCAGGGAGGCCAGCAGCACTCTGTCGCCATCATTATTTGCACAGTCCTCTTTTTGGCTTCCTTTCCTCCCTTTTAATCTTTCAGGCTACTTCCACCCTGGCTGTCCGCTTCCCCTTGTTCCCTCCTCCTCAAGGCTGCCTGCCAACCCCTCTGGTATTATTTAAGCCAATTCCAACCCAGATGTCCTGAAGCCGAGCAGGTGGTGTCAGCGAAGTCTGCAAGGCCTCAAGGGAGCAGCCTCCTTCCCTTCATTGAATGTAGCCCTGGGTGTGGGCTGGGCTTGCCAGGCTGCCCTGCATTATTTAAAAAATTTTAATGCTATGTTATTTCAAGGGGCCCAAGTTATGGGTTTTCATGTGAAATTTCAAGAAATTATAAATGTTAGCAAAATAATTCACATTTTAAAAATTCTGGGCAGACCAAAAAAAATAGGGGCTTCAACAGGCTGTCATTTGTAAGATCTGCCTCATACCCACCCTGGACCCTCCCAGCGAAGCAGCCAGCAGTCGATGATAGAGAGTTTCAACCCTATCCCAGACAACATGCCTCCTGTTTTATAATAATAAGTTATAAAATAAAATGTTACTCACCTGAAGTAGCATTTACAGATACTATAGCCTATATCCATATATAATTTTAAAATTGTAATGTAGTAGCCTAAGTTTGACCCAAAGAAAAATAATTTAAAACAAAATAATGTATACTTTGGTCAACACACTAAAACACAACCACACGACAATTTTTCTAGAATGCCCTCCAAGGAATGGGATCACCCCTGGTTAGATTCTTTCTTCTGGAATGAGCAGGGTCTGCCCTTGACACTTTATTCTCCTGGCTTCTCATCCCTTGTTACAAAGGCTACTTAGCAGTCACCTTCGATTTGTTCCTCAACTTGATTTGGGGACCACTTTAATTGTTGCTGAGAGAAAAAGATAACTTCGGTACCACCCATCCCTTGAGAATTCCCTAAATATTTTCTGGATTCCTTTCTTTCCCGAGTACCAGCTCACTTTGCGCTGTAGGTGATTGCACCCCAAAATGGCAGAAACACGAAATCAGCATATTCCACTTCTCCCAGAGTCATCAATTGAAATCAAAGGCGTTAACAGAGAGTAGATTTTACTAACGTCATTAACTGCATTTTGGTATTCAGTTTTTTCTTGGAGGATTAAACCCACTCTCAATTCATGGTCACTATGGGTGTTTCTCTGCTGCTCATTATAGTCTTACGTTCCTCTGCTATAGGAAGTTAAAAAGGCTGTTTCAGTCCCTTTTTAAGTCCCCAACTTTTACATTTCTAAATGAAGGTTTTAATATAAGTTATGGGTTTGAATAACAAGAGTGGCTTTCAGAATTTATAAATTCTTCTCACCTTCATAAAAATCATAGGTACACATTGTATGTCCAATGAGGGTTGGGAAGTTGGGAATTTCTCTGCTGCAGTTGAACAGTTCCTCTGCCAGTTCCTTGTCAAGTTCAGTACTTCGGGTGACAATGTTGTCCAAGATAACCTGTTCAAATCTGGGCTTGAAGAAGGAGTCCACAGCTGTGTCTGTTATTACAACAGACCCCGGTGCAACCCCTGGGATGCGGGGATAAATGAGTGGTTACTTTGACACAGAGTATGTAATCAGTTCTGCCAACATTAATTAATGCTAGCTGCTAATGATTCTCCCTCTTTCCATCCTTTAAATTATGTGTTTTTTCCCCAAATGCAATTAAATAATAACATTCAGAACAGGCATTTGCATGTCCTGTCTTCCTGGATTCACATTTACAATGTGATGGGGTTTAGATTTCAAGACAAACATGACTCTTGGACATGCAAATTAGCATTGGCCTTCAGGCTCAAATTTGAATAAATTAGGTCAGGAATAAAATAAATGAGCCTGCCAGCAAGTAGCTTTCCTAAAATGATGTGACTACTTGATATTTAATCTTCTCTGCATCTCCTTGATTACTGTAATTTCTTTGCTTCTATATCCCCCCTTCCTTCTGATTCTCCTCACATCACCCTTCCTCCCCTTCTGACCCCATGTAAATTAGCCTCCTGGCTGACCTTCCAGGGCTACAAAGTCTGGCTTGCTCATGGGCCTTAGTAACTAAATCACAGGGAGTTGAAAAACCATTTTCTGGACTGTTCTTCTCCCTGCTGGAATGCTCTTTTGTCCTCCCCACACCTTTTCATCAGACTAACACCAACTCATTCTTCAGGTGTAGGCTCAAGTCACTTCCTTCAAAAGGTCTGAATTCAGAAGGGTGGATGAGGGGGGATAAAAAGGCAGCATAGGTAGGTAATAGTAAATTTCCCCAGGGCCAGCTTTTGGCCTAGTTTTTGACCCATTCTATTTCTATTTAGAGCCAAAATAAGGGACTATACATTAGCAGTGTCCTAGACTCCTATTCTAACATTCGTCTCATGCTTTGTAACTCATTTGTTTGCCTATGACCCTGATTACACATAAACTCTATAAAGTCAAGAGTATTGTTCACTGTTGTCTCCCCAGTTCTAGCATTATGCCTATTGCATTATAGATACTCAATAAAAAATGTATCAAATGAGTGAATGCTTCCATAGAAATGCCATAGGGCAGACATCTGCAAACTATAATCCATGGGCCAAATTCAGACTGTCTTTGTAAGTAAAGTTTTCTTAGACCACAGCCACATTCGTTCATTGCATGTTGTCTATCATAGCTTCCATACTACAAAGCCTTAAATACTTACTATTTGGCTTTTATAGAGCACAGCCATATCCTTCTGGGTTCTATAAGTTTCAGTATTGATCAACATAGGGTTAATTTAGGAGATCCACCTAGGAACCCAAGGTGGGCTCTGATTAGTGAACCTTGGTGGGTCAGACACTTTTTAAATAAGTCAAACAAGTGGCTCCTTGAATTATTTGAGTAGGAATAGGAATCCTATCTAATAAAGAGGGAATAGGTTAATTGACTGCCCCACCCTCAAAGATTGTGGTGCCCACAGCCAATAAGAAGGGAGTATGCTAATTGGCTTCCATGCCCACAGCCACCAAATGGTGGTAGACAAATCTCTTAGCCCCACTGGGGTGGCAGGTGTACGACAAGCCTGGGCCTGCCCCAGGTGGGCCTGGCTGTTCTGGTGCTTCTGCTTCCAGGGTCCCCCAGTCCTTTCAGCCCCAGCCACCCAGGGGGCAACTTCCCAGCTGCCCAGGGCCGCCCTAGGCACAGGTAACCAGGGCTGGCTGAGGCTTGCACTTCCAGTAGTGGCAGCAGTAGAGGTATGATGGGGTGTTGCCTTCCCCTGATTGCTGGGTTGCCTCCTGCCTCTGAGGGCTCCCAGACTGTGAGAGGGGGCAGGCTGGGCTGAGGGGAACCACCCCCCCTCCCACCTCCGGTGCATGAATTTTATGCACCGGGCCTCTAGTAGGAAAATGATTGAGAAGGAAATTGAAAATGTGGGCATCAAAATAATGTCTTGCTAATATTTAGATGTGTTAGGATGTGTGTATCCTAGTTAAGATCTTTCAGAGGCCAAAAGAAAGGCTTCCGGAAGGATATCTCATCTAGCACTGATGCTAACCTTCTCCTCTGCTGGGGTGGACATCTACAGGAGCCCTTTACTTTAGTCCCATCTCTGTGTGCCTGGGGTGGACCTTATTCCTGGACCACAGCTGTAGGAAGAGCCCAGTCTTTCTAAATATGTCTGTTTCTGGGGAAGCATGGCCCAGCTACCTAAAGCTCTATGATGCTGGACAAGTCATCCTCTAGTTTTTTTGTTTGAGGATTTCTAAAGGTCCCTTCTTGCTCCAAAAGTGTGTAGTTCTCAGACAAAAATCTCAGCCCTATTTAGAATTTTCATTCAGTCCTGCCACTCTGTCAACCAAATGTTCCAGTTACAATGCTCTGTCTATATTTGCACATGGTGACAGAGTAAAATGACCCCTCACATGATCTGCTCCTGAAGAACAGGTTGAAAAAAATAACTTGACCTTAGCTCAAGGTGGAAGCATAAAGAAGGCCCTGTCCAGAGGCCTGACCAGCCAGGAGGCAGGAAGAGGGGAAGTCTGGAAAACATGAGGAAGCTCTAGCTGGCCCTTCCCTAAAGGCCCAGTGTGGCCTGTTCTGGTGTGTTGACGAGGAAAAGAAACAGCCAAGAAAAAGGATGCAGTCACTGACATGAGCTAAAAACAATGTTTTCCTATGAAGTGTGCTAACTTCGCTGACAAATAAGGCAATTAGTAGTGATTGTTTCTTTTTTCCTGAAAGCACTTGTTTCTGTCACTTAGGAAATTTCTACACCTCGAAATTTACTGTAGCCCTCAAAACTTTCTCTTATCCTGGAAACATATTCCTTAGCAATCCTTCCGCTCTTCCCCATAACAACACCTATGTCCACTCCAGTTTTCCATGGAGAGAGAAAAAAGGAAGATAAAAAGAAATGTCTTTAATTTTGTTCAATGTCCTCAAGCTGAGCTTCCTGACACTCCTTAGCCCATCTGGATTTCTGGGTTCGGGAATGTTAGTATATTTTGGCGGCTGCTTTGCACAGAACAATCCCTGTAGAAAACAAACATCTCACCGATTCCCCCTGATGTGCCCATTCTGATGATGGTGACATCACAGCACTGGGCGTGGTGCAGTAATTTGATGAGTTCATGCAGCATGATGGACATGGAGGGGATCCCCATGCCATGCTGTTGAGAGAAAGAGAACGTCACTCTACATCTCACACTGATATATGCACAGGACATATTTTCTTTCTTCATTACAAGTTAACAGCCCTCACAGAAATTTACATAATCATCATGACTTTGCCAAAGCTGGGGAAACCGTAAGTCAGCTCTAACTGGCGCCTACATGACACGCTGATAGATGTGCCCATCTGCGGGGACCAGCGAGAGGCAGCTCCCTGCCAGTTAAGCTGGGAGCAGCCTGGTCATTGGGAGCAGAAGGAGGGTGGCCCACGATGGCACGGTGCCCTGGTGTCAGGGCAGTGCCACTGCTGTGTCCCCACTGGGCTCTTTCCACTGAGCTTGCGAAGTAGAGTTTTTTCCCCAAGATTGACTTGATATCAAGGAAATACAAACTTGGCTGCCAGGTGATCAGTCCCTTTCCACCACACTAAGCGAAATTATAAATCCTCGGCATTGCTCTCATTTGCATTTGCTGCTAATGCTGTATAAGGTCTGGAACACACGAGTAGATACATGGTGCCATCCAGATCCAATGAGGTAGTGGATAGAGAATGTGCAGGTGAGGGTAAATTTTAACAGGTCACAACCATACTGGTAATCCCGGTGTGCCTCAGCTTTTGGAATGGGACAGTCAATGTCACCAGAAGAGGGGTCAACAAGAGGATTTGGCAACTCCCGGTGATCAATATGTTTTAATAACTCTGCAGAACGTTCTTTCATGTGGAATTTGTAGTGGCTGGAGCTGAGGCCATTTTATGCCCAGCCTAGCATCAGAGGGTCTCGTGTGTCCTAGTTCTACCCTTGGGCACAGAGACTTGGTGTGTTGGAAGCACACCAAGAGGTCTGCCACTAATTGTCTTCCTAGCAAATCAGGAAAACTCCTGCAGCCAGGACCTTGGTGTCCTCACCTGAGTTCCCCCCTCTTGCCATCAAGAATATGAAACTCTGACAAATTTGAGCCTCTGAGGTTCCCTTATTTGGTTTCCATGTCCTGACTTCCAAAAGCATTGTAAGTCTCCTGGAGACATGAGTGAAACCTGAATTAATTTGTATGTCCAAGACGAACACATTTGGGATTTGGCACTGACTCTGCCACTAAAGAGCAAACTCTCTAAATCTCATTTGTTCAGCTGTACATTAAGCAATGAACCATTAGTTGATCTATTAGGTTCCTTCTAAATCAGATACGTGATAGGTTTATAATGATCACTTATTATGTGACATAGTAGTAAAATGACAAATGGGGTTTATGTGTTTCTGCTAAAATCTCTTTCTCTCTCTCTCTCTCTCTCTCTCTCTCTCTCTCTCTCACACACACACACACACACACACACACACACACACACACACACACACACACACACTGAGCTGCTGGAAAAACTTTTCAAAGAAGGGGCCCAAGTTGGAAATCCTCTGTATGCCTAGAGAGGCTGCCCTCCGGGCATGATCTGTATTTCAGCTCGTTTTTCCTGACCAGACCGCAGATCCATTTGCTGCTGTTTTTGTATCTTATTCTTAAGTTTTACTGCTTGTTTACAATCATTTCACAGTTTTAGAAACCTTATTTTTTGTTCTCACCCATTCATTGTGCAAGAAAGAAAGAAAGACAGTTGTAGTCTAAATGTGAAACAAAAGTTAGTAAGACAAAATTTGCCTAGATCAAACAATATTGAGTTTCCTTCCAATGTCAATACTCTATAGTTGAATGAACAAATGAATTGACTCTCTCACTTGAGCCCAAAGCAAGTTGAGGCATTTTTGACCCAGATGGGAGATCAACTTAGACCCCTTGGACTTTGGGTAATTTTCCCTTCTTTACTCCCTCACCAGGTACTTAGAGTAATCAAAGGTTGCTGGCTCTTCCCTGGCACAGGAGTCACATGATTCAGCTCCTTGGAATGTCACATTCTACAGAGGACTCTTCCTCATTCCCTAGCCTGGCTCTGCCATTTGTGAGGACTGCAGTATCCGGCCATGTGACACACTCGAGCTATTGTTCCAGAATACAGCCTCATGGCAGAGACACACTTAGAAAGACAAGCTCCACACACATATCCACTGCCCTCTGGGTGTGCTACCCTGAGTCCCGGAGGGAAGTGGTCCTTGTGTTCCTTAAAATTGCAAATCAGTCCACTTCCATTTTGTCTTAGGACACTGTATGTCCATAGCTGTCAGCATTGTCTAAATACAGGAGAGCAATTCACCTGAGCTCTGTGGAAACGCATTACCAGCTTTTCAGCCGGCTCATTGCAGTGTTAGACGGCAGCCTTTGGCAATCCTGAAAATTGGTCCCTGTATACTTAAAGCTCAACATTCCCAAAGCTGGAGAAGGGACAAAGGAGAGGAAATTACTGGTGGCCTAATCGGTCACAAACTAAGAAATGAAGTGTGCTTTGAGGGTTTTTCCCCCCCTAAAGTCATTCGCTAAGTGGTAACTAATAAACTGAAGGGACACCGAATGCTATGTTCTGCCCCTGGGCCTTTTTCCAGCAGAGAATGTCACACCTGGAAACTTAATTTAATTGTGTGAGAAGGCAAAGCAGGAGAGAAGAGCCCCAGTAGCAGAAGCTCCCTTTTTTTCTGCGAGCCCCGATGGCTCCCAGAGTGCAGGCACAGAGTACTTACGCTGATGGAGAGCACGGGACCGACTTTGTACATACAGTATCTGTCCGTCCCAGCACAGATGTCCTCTATGTCCTCCCCGCTGCCCGGCAGCCTGAGCTCCTGGTGCATAAACAGTGCAAATGCTTTCATTCTGTTGGGGCTCCCACCAACGCAGACAAACTGTTAATAAAAAGTAACAATCGCCTGCCTTAATGACGGGGATCAGAACCGAGGGGCAGCTTTCAATGTTAATCACTTTACCTTATTTTTTAGTAACTTAAGAGTATGTGTGGTTTGGCTCAGTGGATAGAGCGACGGCCTGCAGACTGAAAGGTCCCGGGTTTGATTCCGGTCAAGGGCATGTACCTTGGTTGCGGGCACATCCCCAGTGGGGGGTGTGCAAGAGGCAGCTGGTTGGTGTTTCTCTCTCATTGACATTTCTAACTCTCTGTCCCTCTCAATTCCTCTCTGTGTAAAATCAATAAAATATATTTTTTTAAAAAGAGTATGTGTAGATGTTATGGCTATGTTCATGAGTTAACTAATTTGTATTATTGACCTGTAAATAATGCAAATTAGTTAACAGTTTGCTGTGCTTAATTAGTAAAGAAAAAGATCATCACGAAATCAATGCAAGTGTTGCTTTTGTTCAAGTCGGTGTTTGCCAGTGTTTTAGTTCACAGGGAACAAACAGAGTGAGATCCTCAGGTGGCATCGGCAGCCTTCTGTTGGGCATTAGCAGGCTAAATGCTTTGTGAGTAAGTACTGAGCACGGGGAATGCAGGTCACATAGCAAAAGGGGAACTATGAGGTTTGGATATGTTTCTTCTTCCCACATCTCCCATCAGAAGTTTTTATTGTAAAATGTGCTGTTAACTTAAAGCTTTACCAAAAATAATCACATAAAAACTTCCCAACTTCTCACTCAGAAGGAATTCTCCTGGAACAAGCCTTATTGTGGACTGGAAACCTCACTACGGTATTTCATCAGCTCCAATAATTTGGTTTTGATTTATTCACATTTTAACATCGCTGAAATTACAACAGGCATGGAAGTCAAGAGTATTGCATCTAATAAAATATGGTTATGAAATTGTCTTGGAGGCGCTTGTGCAATAGCTTATTAGGGGGTCCATGAGGGGTGGGAGAGGTGGATGTGGGAGAGAAGCAGAATGGCCTCCCAGCAGCACTGATGAACTGCCAGCATGGTGGGTACCAGGGGTCAGCAGTGGGGAGGATGCGCAGCAGCAGGTGTCAGAGGCCCTAGAAAGCACAGCCATCAGCTAGGCGGGGAGGTGCACTGAGCCTGCAGAAGCTCAGTCACAGATAAGGCGGCACAGGGGTGAAGGGCCTGCTCTTGGAGATAAATCTGGCTTTGCATCCAGACCCCATCACTGACTAAGCAACTTGCACCGTGTTACCCATGTCATCTCTATGCACCTCAGATTATCATCTCCAATGTAGAAAACACAGGTCCCTTTGGACGGCTTTGTAAGGAGAAAATAGGATCAACTATGGCAGAGGATGTCACACAAGGCCAGGTGCCTTCTGAGCATTTGATAAATAAATACTATTTTTCATATCGTGTAGCAGTTTCTTGGCCCTGCCCTTGAGCTGGCTTATTATTTCTGTATTGCAGATCTTAGTACAGAAGAAGCTGGTTCAAGTCCAGTGAGAAAGGGGCAGTTGGTGGTGCCTGACTGATGTGGGCAGCACGAGGCATAGAGGATGAGAAGGATTACCGGTGAGGTCACACGCAGGGAGAAAGAATATCTGTCTAAGGGAATACCGAACTGAGGTTGTAGAGTAGGCACCCCCATACACAAATGATTTACTATGACTGTTGGGTGGTCTGGTTACATGATGTGTTCTGTTTCCATTTAGCAATATTCCAATTTCAGCTATGGGATGTAATTATCCTTTTATCCGCCCTCTGCTTCTCTTCTATCCTCATTTTTGTCTTTTTTGTGGCTTCTGATGAGTTTCCCTGATGGGGCTTAAAGTTGGTAATGAACTGCAGGGGAAGTGAGCCATATAAGCTGGGTAGCAAAGAAAGTAAGATCATGGTCTAAAGTGAGTTTTTAAGTTATTATTGATTACTTATAAAAATTTTTCCTTCTGATGGTATGGACAATTAAGACTTAGCTCAAATTCTAAGTACAAAGACGGTGTGTGTGTGTGTGTGTGTGTGTGTGTGTGTGTGTGTGTGTGTTTTGTAAAATACAGTAGTTTGAAAATAACTCATTGTGTGGTGCCAATGAATGTAAATTACAACTATTCAGATTGACCATAAAACCAAAAACAGATGTTAGAATAGCTTACAGTTTGAATTCTTCTTTGAACTCTAGATATTGCTGTAATCAACAGGAATTTCTGAATGCTTCTAGTGACATAAAGATAATAGGTATAGACAGAGCATTTTCATTCTTGAAGCTTTACCCTTAAATCAGACGCACTAAATATCACCCCCAGCCACAATTTTAAGTCTGACTGCCTTAATGAGAAGTAAAATATGGTTGAGGACCACCAACCAGCACTGACCTTAAGAGATGCTTACTGTGATTTATGTCCAAGTGAAATTATTTGTCCTGGTTTTAACAAAGAAGATAAAAGTGCATTGGAAGAAGTCTGAAGCATTACAAAAATGTGTTAAGTACTTTGCTATAGGCTGCCAGTATTAACTCACTTTCAAATATGCCTACTGGCCCTAACCGGTTTGGCTAGTGGATAGAGCATAGGCCTGCAGATTCAAAGGTCCCTGGTTCAATTCTGGTTAAGGACATGTACCTTGGTTGCGGGCACATATCCAGCGGTGAGTGTGCAGGAGGCAGCTGATAGTTGTTTCTCTCTCATCCATGTTTCTAACTTTCTATCCCTCTCCTTTCCTCTCTGTAAAATATCAATAAAATATTTTTTAAAATATGCCTATTGTCTCAAAAGACTTACCTTTGCCATGTAGTTATTAACCTAGTCCTATTGCAGCTTGGGTATAATGTATGTTTACAAAGGCATATAAACACTTTAAAAATGTGTATAATAGAGTGTTATATGGTAATTCTTTGTTATGTTGCTTGGAAATTTCTAGGGAGAGATTAGAGGTTCTTTTTTTTCTTTTTTTTTTTTTTAAATGTATTTTATTGATTTCTTACAGAGAGAGGAAGGGAGAGAGATAGAAAGCCAGAAACATCGATGAGAGAGAAACATCGACCAGCCGCCTTCTGCACACCCCCCACCGGGGATGTGCCCGCAACCAACATACATGCCCTTGACCGGAATCAAACCCGGGAACTTTCAGTCCACAGACCGACGCTCCACCACTGAGCCAAACCGGTTTTGGCTAGAGGTTCTTTTTTTCTTTTTTTTCTTTTTTTAAAATATATTTTATTGATTTTTGTACAGAGAGGAAGGGAGAGAGATAGAGAGTTAGAAACATCCATGAAAGAAAATCATCGATCAGCTGCCTCTTGCACACCCCCTACCCGGGATATGCCCACAACCAAGGTACATGCCCTTGACTGGAATCGAACCCTTCAGTCCCCAAGCTGATGCTCTATCCATTGTCAGGTAGAGATTCTGATAGTAATTTTATAAAAGACATATTGAGTTGAGTAGATAAGGTCTAATGCTCCTCCACTATATTTTTAAATTTTGATGCATTCCAGTCAGTATGACAAAGTTACCAAAGCTGTTTCTCCTCCTTTCTGGGAATACAACTAAACTCTACTGCCCAGCCTCCTTTCCTATTAGATAAGGCCATCCTCCACAGTTCAGCCACTAGAACGTGAGCAAAAGTGATGGGTGCCACTTCCAGTCCTGGCCCATAGAAATCTCCCGTTGGTGATACTACAGATTGTCTTCTGTCTGCTGGAAGTGTGTTGACACTCAGAGAAAATTTGCAAATCACTGCTCAAATGTGACAGAGCATCAAGATGGAAGGAGCCTGGGTACCTGAATATCAGTTGGAGGAGAGCCACGTATTAACTGGGAACACCCATTTTTTTTGTAATTAATATAAATAAGAAATAAACTTACATTGTACAAAGCCACTGATATTTTGCAATACCAACTAGTGAAAACTTAAAAAATATAGTAAGAAAATAGGAATAATTGTCAAAATCGTTAAGGTTGAAGTTTTACACACCCACAGTTCTTCTTTCCTTGGGAGATAATGAAGATCATCTCTGTGAAGTCAAGCCTGAGTTTTCAGATTTTGATGGATTATGCTCTCTCTTCTTAGCTAGGATTGTTGTCCTAGAGTTAACTAGAACCAAGAAATTGAACCTAGCATGTTCTCATTCAAAAATAAGAATGTGGCTGAAAAAATGGCAAGTTTCTGAAAAAAACATCTGTAAATCTAAATCAGACTTTACCTGCTGCCTCTAAAAGAATCCTGGCCTAGGTCAAAGAGCCAGTCCTAGTTATTTAGATCTACTTTTGCCCACTCTCCATCAAAGTGGGCCAATCCATAGAATTGTCCTCTGGTGGGACAAAACATGTTCTAAACCAGAATGTGCCTTTTTATTCAAAAGAAAATCTACTGAAGAAAATCTACACCAGGTGGACAGTGAGTTTTTAAGGTTGCATAGTGGCTCTGACAGACGGAGCCTGAGAATAAGTGCTGATGAAAAGCTAGTCAGGTGGAGCAGTAAAGGCCTGTTTCCTGGGATTGTAACAAAGACGAGGCAACTCTGCGTGTGTGTGTGTGTGTGTGTGTGTGTGTGTGTGTGTGTGTGTGTGTGTGAACGAGAGAGAGAGAGAGAGAGAGAGAGAGAGAGAGAGAGAGAGAGAGAGAGATAGAGAGAGAGAGAGAGAGAGAGAGAGAGAGAGATTTATGTTTTAGACATTATTTTCATGTCTAAAACAAAGCTTTCCATCCCAGTGATTTCCCAGAAGCTAACATTAAGAGCACCAAAATGCAATACCTTTTTTTTTTTCTCAAATAGAGAAGAGCCATTATTTTTTTCATCAGAGAAACCTAAGGTTTAATTGCAGCTCTTTCACTTACCAGCTGTGTTATGCCTATGACAGTTATAGCTAGCTAGATGATAGATATAGGTATATATAGATAGAGATTTATGTACATGTATATAGATTTAGTGCTAGAACTTACTTATAATAATACATTTATAATATATGTACAGGTATATATGTTATAACACTATATATATGTTTGAGCCTCAGTTTCTCATCTGTATAATGGGGATAATAACAACTTCGTAGCTATGGGGTTCAAATGATATACCAAACTCATATGTCTAATACAGAGTCTGATGCATGGAAAGTACTCCATAAATGATAGATGAGAGACAGATACCTAGCTATGTAGATAATAAAAAAACTTCCTGTCTCAAAAATTTATCTTGAGTCTTTCTAATTTATTATATGTGTACCATAGTTTATTAATTATGATGAGTCTTTTAATTAATTGGAATTATCCCCAAATAATGGTCCGGGGAATATCACTGTGAGGCATGAACATCAAATCTAACATTTGAATTCAAGTAGTCTGATCAATGAGTATTATAGATAGACTTTATCGATTATTCTTGGAGCAAAATCATCAGAAACATCAGTAGGGAGATGTTACATTGAGAAGATGAGGCTAATATGGAGAGAAGCCTCTAAAAGGCTAAGAGCAGCAGACTGGTGGGAGTGGGGAAAGGGGTGTGTTATGTCAAATCAGCCCACAGCCTCAAAACATTGTGCCCTAGGAGAGATGGGAAGAGAAGAAGCATTTAGCTCCCTCTGCTAATGAATATCATAGGTTTATTTCTTCTCTTTATCTTTTCCTTTCTTCTTCCTTTCATTTTCTCCCTCCTTCCCACCCTCCCTTCCTTTCTTTTTTCCTCCCTCCTTCCCTTCCTTCTTTTCTTCCTTTCTTTCTTTTCCCTCTTCCTTCTCCCCTCTTTCTCCTCCTAACCTCCTTCTCTTCTTCCTCCCCTTTCTTCAGTACTCCCTTCCAATTAATGGACTCTTCTTAGTTACCTGACTCAAAGAATCCACCTGGTGCAGTGGGTAAGAATCTTGGGAAAGCGTGGTCCAAGTCCTAGCTCTGCCACTGGATGTTGTACCTTGTTAACCTCCTTTGACTTTCCTGAACTCAATTTCCTTGTTTTATGGAGGAAATAAATAAATATCTGCTACCCTGCCTAAAAAGGCTAATGTCAAGATTAAGTGAGACAGTGGATGTGAAAGGTTTTCTGCTTGTTTGTTTGTTCTTGTAATTGCTAAAGAAGCGAGTAAAAGTTAAATGAAAACTGCACGATTCTCTCCTGGTGTGACTGTGAATAGGTAGAGGCCTTTTGAAAATAAAAATTCTTTTAAAAGTGTATTCCCTTTTACCACTTAAGTGAATAATACCAAGCAAATAGATTTAAATATGAAAAAGTCTCAGGTCCAAAAGTATCCATTTCAATGGTGTTTATAATAGAAAATAGTTTTACATAAAGGTCAAAAGTAGACTATATAATGTGTGGCTCGATCACTTGACATCCATAAACACCGTGTTTTTAAGAAAATGACATAATATGGGGGAAATGTTAATTACATAAAGTGAATTTTAAAAATTAGGATGCAATTATATAATTCCAACTGTTTTAAAATCTATTTATTAAAAAGGATTGGGGGAAAAGAAAACAGGTTAATGTTTATGTTTAGGGGGTAGAAGTTTTTTTAGGGTGTATTTCTTTAAATTATTGTTTTATTTTTTTAATATTTTTCCAATTTGAAATAATGAACATTAGCTGCTTTTATTATATACATATATATTTAAGGTAAAGTAAATATTAGAGAAGTATAATTTCCCTAGCAATATTCCATAAAAATTTTCTCATAACATTTCTTATGAAATAACAAAAATCTTAATAATATGAAATATTGAATAATAGTTCTTTTCAAGATAACATTGTTAATTTTGTTGAGTTATGCCATGATTTAATAAAATGTGAATTATTGAAGTTCAGCTATCAATGTAGATGTTAAACAGTGAACTGAATCATAATGAATTCTCAGCACCCAGTAGTATTGTCAATAAAATGGAATTTATCTCTAGGAACTAGAACAGCCCAATAATTATTCATGTATTAGATTTAGTTTGGGGACCTTGATGTCTTCTTGGAATGGAAACAATTGTTTGAGATATATACATTCCAAATTGCTTCAGAGAATGAACATTAGTTCCTAGTCGGACCTCTGACATTTCACAGGCTGAATGAGTAAAGTTTATGACAAGAAAATAAAAGAATATATATCAGCAGGGGAAACACAATAGTTTTCCCTAAAGTTAGAAGTACTTTTACCTTTACATCCCCAAACATTGCTGGTAGATTGTGTGTTTTTGTTCCTAAATCCAAGTGATAGAGAATGTCTTCATCCATAGCATCCAGGTAAGGATTTTTAACATGAACAAAACTTTTTCTGGGAAAAAATAATATAAAAAAGATGTGAAGAAATTTAGAGAGAAAGTCTGTGATAACCTCTAGCCTGAATATTGGACACAAACTTTCATTTAGGATTAAATGATTTATCATGAAGCAAATATTATTATGATATTATAATAAAAACAACAGCACCACTAATTAATAATAATAGTGGCTAATATTTTCTGTGCACTCAGGCATAGCCTTAAGCATGAAAATTGTGCACTGCCATAAAATCTACATAAACATTCTATTAAGTAAGCAACAATAACAAATCCAATTTACAAATGAAGGAGCCAAGACTTGCAGAAGTTGAGAATCTTGAGCAAGATTTTACAACCAGTAGATTACAGAACAGTCTGTTCTATCCAGGTCTGTCTGGCCCTCATGGTCCTTTTCTACCTTACATGGGAGGCTGTATACCATAGGCTACTGGAATCTGTAGTCAGATTGCCTGGGTTCCACCACCAGTTCAACCATATATGTATTCCTTGTGCAGCCTTGGGTAAGCTATTTTATCTTTGTCCTTTGAAAGCTTCCTCATCTGTAAAGTGGGTATAGTGAAAATAATAACTGCTTAGAAAGATTGCCTTGAGGCCTATATAAGCCTACCTGGGCTACTGTCCTTCCTCTCTCTTATAAAATAATGCAAGACGGTGAACTGACTACTGCCGTAGGAATGACCTTAATTCCATCTAATTCATATTTATAAGGCACACCATCTTCAGTCTTTGGTATTATAGTAGTGATTACATACAACTTTAATCATTAGTGACAATCATTGCCCAATACCAGCCTTTGGTAGTATAGTAGTGATTACATACAACTTTAATCATTAGTGACAATCATTGCCCAATACCACCGCGGGTCAAGCTGTCTCTGCCAAGAACTGTCTGACTTTTTCACTCTATGTTCCTTCCATTTCCTAGTAAATGTCTCTACACATTTTAACAAAACTCTTGTGTGTTTTTGTTTTATATTTCCAATAATGTTTGCTCATTAAAAAATAGTTTAAAAATACTGATGTCTGGGACCCACTGAATTTAGACTCTGAAAAATATTTTTGAAATTTTCCCAAGTGATCTGATGTGCAACCCAAGTTAAGAATCCCTTTTTAGGCCTTTATTCCTGAAGCATCTTTCCCATTTCCCTCCATTGTTCACATGTCAGAATCCTACTCATTCCTCAAGGTCAAATTTAAATACCACCCCCACTGAAGGCTTTTCCAAGCATCTTCCCTCCCCAGTCAGTATGAATTCCCACTCCTACACTGCTCCTAAAGCAGGTACTGTATTTCATGTTAAGGCTGGTAGATAGCACTTCAAGGGTTAATTTTTTTGTCTCTCCAGAAAAATTGCGAATTTTCTCATGCAAGCTGTCTCATATATCTTTTCTTTAATCCCCAAGTCTTAACAAATTTTATTTGTTAAATTAAATTTAACGTTTGGGAAGTGGAACAGAATACTATTAATTTTCCGCTCAAAAACACTTAGGGTAACAAATTCTTAATTAGTTAGTGGATCATGGCTGGTTTAAAAAAAATAAAGCATTTTATGAGGTTAGTACATTTGACTACTTCAGGACAAGCCTCAAAGCCCCCAAGTAAAAAGACACCTCCTTTCCTCTCCTGGGGACAGACAAGAGGACATGCACCAGTGATCCCTTGTTGGAAAAAGTGTGTCGATTCACCAGCAGGATTGCCAAGGAGGCTTGTTAGAAACACAGAATTGCAGGCTCCACACAGGACCTCCTGAATCAAAATCTGCCTGTAAACAACTCCTATGTGACTTCTGTGCACATCACAGTTTGAGAAACATGCCATCCACTTTCTCTTCCAACTTCTCTCCCCTTTCTGCTTAACTCTGCCAAACTGCTTTCCCTCTCTGCAGCTTCTCCTGTGGGGTCCCAGCTGACTCTATAAATCCTTACCCTAGAAGAGAGTGTCATTCATCTACTTCAGTGATTTCAAATTCTAACTCCATAGCAGAATCACGTGGGGTGCTTTAAAAAGCACCGGTATCTGAGCCCACACCTAGAAATTCTGATTTATATTGTCGAGAAGATATGGGCCTTGGTATTTTTAAAATCACTGATGTATTCCAGCTTTCCGGTCTTAAAAAAAAAATCTCAAACCATTAACTATATTCTCTTGTATTAATTATAATAATCCTGCTAATTCATTAGGACTATTCATTATAATAATCCTGTTAATTATTTAGTTTTCCTTGATGGTCTGTTTCAATAGCTAATGATCCCTTGGTCAAAGAATGGGCGAGGAGCATGTGTATAGAAGGTTTGTATCCCTTTGGTCTCACCAAAAGCACTTCTAAAATAATCTCTCTATTACTTGCCAAAGGAAAGATTAGTTTGGAGTATTATGCCAAATTCAATCCAGTATGATTCTGGCAATTGCAAAAGTTCAATCTTTCCAAAATATATAATTTTTACTAAGTAGACTATATGTGCTACTTGGTCCTCAACCTAGTTTTGCATTTTCTTTCCTTTCTCTAAAATGTTGGCCAAAGGTGGTATTGGAAATACATTCTTTTAGCAAGCCATGAGATAGCATGGTCAGTATTAAACACTAGTAACCAAAGAAAAGTGCTGGCTGAGAAGAAGTCTTTCTATTTACCACTACCTTCACCTTCAGAATTTTTCCTTTTCTCTTGCTTTGGCATTCCTGAGCAAGTAAACGTGGTAGGAGACTACCTTTGTCTGGGATGGGTAAATGGAACATTTTCTGGACAATGACACGATGGAGGCTCTAAGCAAGGCATCTGATACGACTTGGTGAGGGAACGCACACAAATTCCTTAAGCTTCCTGAAGATTAATGCTCATTATGTTCTATGAACCTGGGGCAAGAATTGGAGCTAAATTTGCAGACAGTTTTGGCAGATTTATGTCTACCCCTGGGATGAAGAACATACATGGAATTTTAGAAGTGAATTCTATGTAAAGTCTATCACAAAGCGTATGGAATCACTTCATAATGTGCTGCAATGCAGTTAAATCTCCCTGAGGCCCAGGGAGGCCCCTTAAATCATTTCTCAGATATTTCAGCCCATGGTCCTGGAATTAAAGGCTGAACTGCAGGCTGAACTTTGAATGTGTTCACTCATGCAGATTGGTTAATCTTTTGCATGGTTTTTGGCTTTGCTTTCTCTCTCTCTCTCTCTCTCTCTCTCTCTCTCTCTCTCTCTCTCTCTCTCTCCCTCTCTCTCTCTCAAGGAGAGAGGTATAATTGGCACATTGCTCACTTTCCTAGATGAGCCAAATTCCCCTAAGAACCAAGGAATGAAAATATCACTAAGAAGACAATTTGCCTTGTATTTATTTTGTTTTGTATTATGAGCTAAGTTCCAACTATATCATCTCTAAACATAAGACATTTACATAATGATAGAGGTTGATCTTCTGAACATTTAATATAAAATCCAAAGAACATCCATGTAATCAAAATTACTTACCCAACATATGTATTCTGGTCAGATCCCATGGGTTTATTGGAAACAGGTAAAATCGAAGCCATACTTTGTGGTGTGTAGGTAGTCACTCTTCAGTTGATGACAGGGAAGAAATAGTCAGCTGCTATTAAATTATAGGTGAATCATAATAGTTCAACTCTAAGTTGGAATGACAGCCTCCCTTAAAACTTATGTTTTCTTCTGAAATCAATATTAAACCTTTATTCTTAGCATAACTCCAGACCGATTCAAAAAAGATCCTCCGTGTCCTGGCCTTTTATACTACAGCCTCGCTATCACTGCAGCTCTTCCCTAAGATCCGTCCCCTTTGAAGGTGTGGTGCCCTTGCGTTCTGACGAGGTTGGTTAGCTTGCTCACCGGTGCACCTTTCCCTTCCTCTGGCCTTGAGCTCAGCACGAGTCTGGTGTGGCACACGACTTATTTACTCCTACCAGACAACAGTATGTGAATCCGAGTTTTCTACTAGTTTCCACAGGAACTCCACCATGTCGTCTCGAAAATGTGCCCAGTACACGGGAGAACATTCAGTTCCCAAACATTTTGTTTTCTCTCCCCATCCAGGGTACACTAGTTACAGTACACCCCTCATCAACTTGTTTCCATTCTGTGTTCACAAGTGAGGCAAACATGTGAAGTCATGACCCCAGAGTGCCTCTTCATCTGAACTCTGCCCATTCAGATTCACACAGAAGGTCTGCTAATTAAACAAAATCTGTTTCCCAGGGCTTCATTAAGCTAAAAACCACAGGCTGCCCATGAAATCCAAAGGAGCAGCTGTTGGAGGTCAATCCAAGTAAAATAACAAAATAAGGCCTAATATTTTCAGAAAACAAGACTCTCTTTGAAGGAATCCATAAATTTACTGCTTTTCTTTTGCTTCTGACTGTACAATTGTGGGATGGACAAATCTAGAAGACTTTCAAGGAACTCCATCCTGTTTTGTTTTTTTCCTTTTTATTCCCAGCTCCCATGGCAATAAGCTGAAGTTCTATGCTGGTGAGAGCTTTAAGGACATTTATCTCACAGCTTGCAAGCCAACCAGCACTTAAAATGTTCACAAACCCCCAACAGCAGCAGGTACAAGGCATTTCATAATGTGCTTGGATTTCTCTGTGAGAGTGTGCATCACAATCAAGAAGCAAATGCAGCCCTAACCAGTTTGGCTCAGTGGATAGAGCATCGGCTTGTGGACTCAAGGGTCCCAGGTTCCAGTCAAGGGCATGTACCTTGGTTGTGGGCACATACCCAGAAGGGAGTGTGCAGGAGGCAGCTGATTGATGTCTCTCTCTCATTGATATTTCTAACTCTCTGTCCATCTCCCTTCCTCTCTGTGAAAAATCAATAAAATATATTTAAAAAAAAAAGAAGAAGAAGAAGCAAATGCACATCTTAATTGTGTTAGAAGATACTCCTCTTCCTGGTGATAGTCACTTTGGACAAACTCCTTGAGTTCCATGCTGGCATCCTTCAGTCTATCTTGGCCAACTAGCAAACTTTACAAGAAGGAAAAAGAATAGGAAACTAATATAGCACTCCAAAAATTGTGACTGCTACTACCAATTAGGCATTTGTATCTTTACCTAAAGTTATCCAAAAGTACCCAAGAAAACTAACCTTGGAAAAGGCAATGACAACTTTGAGGCAAAATAAGCCTGAACCTGTGTGTTGCTTGTATAACTTGGAAGAGTAGGTCCTGATTCCAGTTTATAATAATATTATAATACGTCTCTTACCTCATGGCCCACCTCAAAGGGGTCTACCTGCTGCTCCTTCTCCACAACCACTGGCAATTTTGTGATTCAATATGCCCACCATCTACCACGGGAGCTTCCAACATTTTTTAATCCTCACCTGAAGATGTTTGTTGACATGAGGGAGAGAGAAACATTGATGTGAGAGAGAAACATCCATCAGTTGCTCCCAAACACCCTGACCAGGAATTGAACCTGCAACCTTTTGGTGTGTGGGACAATGCTCCATCCAACTGAGCAACACTGGCTAGAGTGGGAGGCTTCTCACTTTTATTTGGTCTATTTTTATTTTATCTCGAATTTTTTTAGGGTATAATGATCAAATTCTAGTCTGGCATTTACCTCTGGCTCTGACAGGTGAAAGTGTTAGCTATTAGGTAAGTGTTCAGTCATTAATTACTCCAGTGAATTATTTAGACTAATTAACATGTCTCTTCCCAGTGAAAATTTTGTCAATGATCTTGATCACCAACAGTGCCAGGGGACACCAGCAACATTTTATGGACCCCATATAACAACTCCTGAGAACATTAAGGCAAGTGCTCATCGTTTGGGTGAAATTAAGAATAGTCTTTCAGAATCTGTGCAAGTAGAGTACTGATGAGTGTCCTCTGGGTAATCCAAAATTATTTTCCCTAGTTTTCAATTCTTTCATGACTCCATCCTACTCTTACAGTAGTTGTTGCTCAAAAAAATTTTTTTTTATTGACTGTATTGCAAAAGTTCAGTCACCTGAATGATAATGGAGAGAGGTCTCCTTTTTAGAGCGTATGCAACACAGAAGTGCACAAGGGAAACTCATGCCCAGCGAATGGGAGACACAGGGGGCTTCTGGAAGGATGGGATACCTGGGTTGCGTCTTGAGGAAAATATAATCCTGAGAAAATATTGCTGAAGGTAGGGGTGGGTAGAAATGAGAGGCCTGTGCTCCTGGCCCAGGGAACTGTGTGTAAAATGCATCTCAGTCAGGGACAAAGTGGCCTTTACTTTTTGAGATTTCTGTTACATTAGACAATAAAGAAAGGCCAACACAGGGTTACACTAGTTACAATATACACCTTGAGTCCTAGTAGTCTGTTTTTAGGTAAATGGACTCCACATAGGAGATGTCCTACTTATCACACAATGGGTATTAAGCACCTGCTATGAACTAAGTTTGTTCTTGTTCAAAGTGGCATAATAATATAAGAGAATGGTCCTTGTTCTCAGGGTCATATTTCTGGCAGCTTTCAGAATAAAAGGATTTAACTTACAACTGCCCTGGCTGCTCTGGTAGCCTTTCTTATCGGGAATATGATCCCCACAGTGTGACAAAGCTTGCATTTCCTGTTCCCCAGTGGCTGGCCTTAACCAATGCCAGTGCCTCAGTGAGTCAAAAGGCCCCTCGGAGAATTTGGTGGAGGCATCTGTGCCTTGGGTGGTTTGGTCACTTACGACTGAAAACACAGCTTCTGAAGATGCTTGACCTCAATTTTAAGATGTTTCTGTTCTTGATGATGTTGGATAAAAAGAAATGGGAGGCACAGGATATCAAACAAATTCAAGAAAAGCTTTTTGTTTTTTAAGTGAAGCATGATATTTAGAACCAATAGCACTAAGAAATAAAATTTAAAACTCTTCTCTTAGTTCAAAATAATAATTTTGAACTTGGAATAGAAATCTGAAGGACAAGAAAGAATGCCTGTGGCAACGGTGACCGAGTCGGCATTACACTGGGCCAGGCTCTGGGCAATCTCACTCACATCATCCCTGAGAGACAGTTTTTGTTATTTTTCTCCATTTTCAGCAGAGGATGTTAGAAGCCAGAGAGGGGAGATGAGGTGCCAGAGATCCTACAATGAGTTAGCCCAAACCAGAATTCAGACCTAGTTCTGTCCAGCTACAAAGCCATGGGGACTTTTTCTATTCCACCACTGTCATTATTTTTATTTTATTTTTTAAAAATTCCATTGATTTTTAGAGAGAGGGAGAGATAAAGGGGGGCTGGTGTGAGAGAGAAACATCGTTTTGTGGTTCCACTGATTTATGCATTCATTGGTTGATTCTTGTATGTGCCCTGTGTTCTGGGATTGAACCTGCATTCTTGGCATATTAGGATGATGCTCTAACCAACAGAGCTTCCAGGCCAGAGCTCACCACTCTTTAAATGTTGGGTTTCTTTAAAGAAGACAACAGTCCAAGCACAATGGCATCAACAAGAGAAGGAAATTCGATCTGGGTCTTACAGGTGAAGTCGGGCTGGGACGGGAGGAGTGTCCCTAACACCCCGCTCTGCGGGTGTGAGGGGTTGTTGACTTCATTCATTGATGGAAAAGGGGTGCGTAACTAAGCCATAGTGGGGGTGTTACTTGGATGCTACTGAAGAAAATAGCCCCAATATTGATTGCAAAATTATCTTGTTGCCAAATTTAAATTCTTCTTTAAAGTGTTCCCTAAACACACGAAAATGTTCAGTGTAGCTCCTCTAAAGCTTACCCACATAGCTGGGTCTGACTCAACACCCGGCCTGCAGCCAGTGCTTCTGCTCCTGAGCAGCCCCTGCAAAGGGGGTTAGAGGCACAGGCCTGTGCGTCTGCTAACTGCCCATGGGTCGTCCATTCCAGTGACGTCCTGCCTTGGAGATGAAAGCCTGTGTTTGTCTTTTTAGCTCCAGATGAAGGAACCCCAACTGGAATATGAAATGCCCTGGGAATCAGTTGGAAAGAAGCTTGGAGGGCTTGACAAACTCACCCTGAAATGAGAGGAAGGCCTGTTTTTCTTGGAACTAAGGAAGGTTCAGTCCTAACCTCTAACCAAAAAAAGAAAAAAAGAAAAGAGGTTATTACTGCTATGCCCAAGAGGGTTCAGATGGGAAAATAATGCTAATCCATCGAGGAGGTGGTGAGTTCCAAGCCCAGAAAGTCACGGAATTTCAAAGCTGACTGATTCTAATTTGGGTTTGGCTGAGTGACAGCTAACAGTGTGCTTTATGATACTCTCCTAACATTACTCGCTGCAATACTCGGAGTTAAACATTAATTTTTTTCGAAAGAAGTAGAAAACCTTGAGCACATAACCAAGGTCACATCCACATTTCTGTTAATGCCTCACCTCAGGAATGTCATGACTTTTCGGAAGTGTGACTCTTTTGAACACTTCACCTTGGATTCGCATTTCATTTTCGGTTGTGATCATGGTTGGCGTTTCTGAGACTATCTTTTGTTAGTCAGTATTCGGTAAATTTTAATTGTGAAATAGTTCAAACATATAGAAATGTGAATCTGTAACAGATGCCTGTGCAGTTGCCACATGAA